TGACAAACTTGTGTTACGAATTCTGTTCTTATTATTACGAGCTACGTAAGAAAGAGGATGCTGATGTTAATTTGTAGGTACCTAAGTATATACCAACGAAGCCTTGACTTTATCTAAGTTCACAACAACATGCGTCTGTCCCAAGTCCCAACAAGTTACAAGGTTTCACGGATCGTAACAGCAGGCGTATTGCCCGTTTTATGTCGCACATAAATATCTACAAAAATTTAAGTACCTACCTACATGGTTCAAAGTTCAACCGAACGATAATCAATTTCAATATTTGATCAGCAAAAATTGGTCGCATTGCAGATAATCTACATCTAAAAGCGTTCATGAGTAATTTATCATATTCTGCCTTTGTATATTTTGGCAATGATCACACAGACTATTGTTAAATTTCTGGCGCGAATTACAGATACTAAATAATTGGAGTTGTTGTTTATTTTGTGCCTTGGAGGTTTAATAGAACGAATTATTTAGTAGAATATGTAAAGGTAGTTTCACGAAAAAATAACTTTTATTAGTGAAAAGTACAAATTAATAATTTTATACCCTTTTTCGTATTGATAATGTTTACGTGCAAATGTAGTATATTTTTGATTACAACTACACATTTTACAATATACTTGAATAAAAATTACGCACGAATACTTAGATACATTCTCAGACATATCAAATAGCAATAACTAAATAGGTAGATACTCATATAATAATTTGAAGTAGATAGGCATTGTCCCACTATATTTCACATGCAATGGTATCTAAAAAAATACAAAATTTTAACAGACCTTATTTTATGCTACTAACATTACCTACCCATTTGTTTCTTTGATGTCTTCGCCATTGTAAATTAAAGGCATCCATTTACGTAAAAATCGTAAAAGAAAGCTCTCATTAAGTAATGGAAGGGAGGCGTTACAGATTCTGCTACTTACTAACAACATTCTCTTATTAAACAAAATTTAGGTAGAATTTTTAAATAGTAATTTACCAGCTTTGTCGGCCACTTTATTACATTACATGTGTCGTTATATTTTCTCATTACAATTATATCTTCCAATCCCTACTGAAATTTATAAATGCGAAAGAGCGTCTGGGATCTCTTCATGCTTAAAACACTGATCTGATTTAGATGAAGTTTGGTATAGATAGTTTGGGACCCAGGAAAGGACATATATTGCTACTTGGGAGGTAGTGAAAGGGTGTAAAAGTTTGTATGGGAAATTAATTACACCACGCAGACGAACTAGTGAGCGCCGTTAGTCTTCTATATTCCACTTTGTTTAGTGACTTTATTTATTTGAGTGAAACTTTTATTACATCATTACAAACTTTTTCGTTCATCTTTAGCATGATCCATCTAGGAAGTTTTGACATTTCATGAAGAAAGCTAATTCTTCCAATTGTGAAATATGTAACAAAATGGACGATGTCCAACACATTTTGAAGAGAGAGAGAGAGAGCTATTATATATTATAGCTATTCATACAACAATATCAACTTAACTTTGGGAATAGGTTCCTTTGTAGAAATATTAGCACTACCAAACACAGTCGCAGCAAAGTCGATGTTTCTCTCCAATGTTTTAAATTAAATTAGTTGTGTAAGTTTTGATTAGGATACGATGAGGCTGGCATATTCGTAGAATGAAAGCCTCTAAATAAATAAAGAAAAAAAAATGTGGGTTACCTACAATGCGAAGAGATGGCGCTGCCTTGCAGCTTAAGGCTAGGAAAATTTCGACGCGCCCATCAGCGCCGTGGTAGCATAATTGGTCAGTGCATTCGCCCGGATTGCGATAGGTGCGGGTTCGAGTCCCGTCCGCTGCCTGGTCCGCGTGAATTTGTTTCTATTAAAACTTTGGGTTACCTACAATGCGAAGAGATGGCGCTGCCTTGTAGCTTAAGGCTAGGGAAATTTCGACGCGGCCATCAGGGCCGTGTTAGCATAATTGGTCCGTGCATTCGCTCGGATTGCGAAGGGTGCGGGTTCGAGTCCCGTCCGCTGCCTGGTACGCGTGGATTTTTTTCTAGTAAAACTTTTCTTTAGATTTAAACGTCTAGCAATTAAATGCTTAAAAAAATAAAAACATAAGAAAAAAATCTTTAGCATGTTACATTTTTTATGATTATTCAAAAAATCAGACCATATCAACATGCATCGGTGGTTCAATGCCAGGGGCTTGCCAGTGGTAGAAACTCACCTACTACGGGGGTTGGATTTCCAGCCGAGAAAGGACTTTTGAAGTGAATTTTCTTTACGCACGCTTGACTTGGGTGGTAATCTGGCGAATGCGTTACGCGTTACGGAAAGTGTGTTCGAGCGGGGCGAACGGGAGTTGAGTAGAGGATATAAGCAAGAGAAAGCAGTGCGCGCGCACATTATCTTTCTCTCTTTCTGTTATAGCTAGTAAATGAAATATGTATATGTATTTACATACATGTACATATTATACACACACACATATATATATATACATGCAGATGAAGGTAAAGTAGTTTCACTTTAGTCATGTGGGCATAAGGGCGGCAGCTTATTTCACACTCTGAGCTTGATATCCATGCAACGGCAGCGACAATACATTACCACTTTCGTTAAAGAATTACGAACGATTTATATCCGCACTGAATCTTGGTAGTAGGTACCCACCACAAACTCTTATCACGACTGAATTCAGATCACTGAAGTTAGTTGGATAAAGCCATAAACAGTATACTTACAATTTACGGACAACTAGCTGTGCCCCGCGGTGATACCCGCGGTTTATTAGGGATAAATAAATAAAATGAATATTTCCAAAATTCACACCAATTAAACACTGCAAGGCTTGTGTTATGGGATACTAGGGTAACGGATAGAATACATATATAAGTATATTTATATAGAATACATATTAAACAACTATGACTGGAGTACAAATGCTCGTATTCATCACACAAACATCTGCCCCTACCGGGATTCGAACCCGGGACCTCTCGAGTCGGCGACACCATGAAACCCGGCGTACAAACCACTCGACCACGAAGGTCGTAAGGGATACTTTTCCACAGTAAAATGTAGCCTATGTGTTAATCCAGGGTGTCAGCTAACTTCATACCAAATTTTATTAAAATCCGTTCAGCCGTTTAGACATGAAGAAGTAACAAACATACACACTCACTAAGTTTCGCCTTTATAATATTAGTGTGACAACTGATTTTTTATTTAAATTATTTGAATATTTCCATTGTGACAGTTACTCCAACTACACCCATCAAAGGAGTCTTAGCAACTTTTTCGAAATTGTGACCGATTTTTAATATTATTAATTTATATTCATTTGTTAATAACAACCAATCTGATTTATTAGTGACTACAGCAATTTTATTGCCTTTAAATAAATTATATATTTCATAACGAAAAACTGAACTATTTGATGCAACAAAGAGTATAATAATACACGATAATATAAAATATCAACTGATACAACAAGTATGCGAAATGATGCATATTGCTTAAGGTGCTATCCGACGATCTGTGTTGTCGCGGGCGAGGCCGTGCCGAGCAAGTTTGCCAAACGTTTGAGAACTCTAACGTTCGAGATTTAGCAGTATCTATACATGATACGAGGTGATGATACTATGATACGAATAAGGATGCATTAAGTGATGGCATAATGAATCTGTACTTACTGAGACGATCCTTTGTGGACTGGAAATTTATTTACTATCTGATAATATTTTTGGTTTGTATACATGACAATCAGTCAGATTCAAACAGTCGATATTGTTCAAATTTCATATCAAAGTATACGAGATTTCTTTTTACCTCATATCATTTATATATACTGCTAAATCTCGAACATTGAGTACTCATACCTTTAGCAAACCTGCGCGGCGCGGCCTCGCCTGTGACAACGCAGATCGTGGGATAGCACCTTTAGACTCTTTTGATGAGTACCTATATTTTCTGTTTACATCATAGTTCTACTTTCATATTATAAAAATGATAAATTGATAGTACAAAAACTAGTATATACATATTAAATACTAGCGCCCGCTACTTCGTCCGCGTTAATTTTAGTTTTTTGAGAAATCCACAGTAACCTAACATTTTCCAGGATAAAAAGTATCCTTTGACTCCATCCAGGTACACTTTATAGTTTATTACCGACTATATGCGCACCAAATTTCATCCAAATCCGTTCAATAGTTTTTTAGTTAATGAATAACAATTATTCAAACTTTCACATTTATAATTATTATTAATTATTTATTTATTTTTATTAGGATATCTTAAAAAACAGAAATATACCTAAGATAGGTACCTTATAATCTTCACATACCTATCGAGTGTCTCATACAATTGGTAACTTTTAGGAAATACTGTGCTTACAATACTTTTTAGCATTGCAATAGCAATAGGATATCATAATAATCATTGACTTAAAATTTAAAATACTATATTTTAATAGAAATATATATTATTATAACTTACAGAAACCTTACTAGTTTCTTGGGTAGGAAATACAATAAATTATTAATCGTCTTATGCCGACTAAGGTTTCATATGTGTCACATACAGGTCTATTTATAATTTCAATTATTTTATTTCTCTTCAGTAAATTTTTAACCTAAATTGCCTTAACACCTTTAAGTAATTCGAGCAAATCGAACATACGAAAACCTTGGACAAAATTTTTAACTTTCTACTTTACGTCATGCCGCGATTCGGAGAATTTATTCCGCGTTATCATTTAGCTTTCAAAATATAAATGAAACCATTTACAATAATATAGTTTTCGTTATCTTTACTTTGCTTTCTCATTCAGCAAACGTTCAAAATATTCTCCTACGAATTTGGACCGCACAACCACCGCTACGGATAGCTACGGCTACGAGACTACGAACTACCTACGATACCGTTACGTAACAGTAACCACTCACACAATATTTCTTTTGCAATACAATGCTTCTTAAAAGTTACATTTATAAGTAGGTAAACTTTTTTCAACTCACCTTATTCATTCCATTCCCCATTTTGAAGTTTCATAAAATCCTCTGCTTTGTATAAAACGAACTTATTGTCGCTCCAACATAAAACAACAACAATTGATCACAACATAGAATAAACATATTTATTTAAAAATAACATTATTAGTTTCATATTAAAAATGTCAAATTGTCAACAGGGGCGTCTCTATGACTACATTGTTGACGCTGGTGCGCCACGCTTCTCCTTCGATAATAAGTCACCGGCCTAAAAGTTGCAGTATTTTTTCACCGTGCAACATACAAGTGTATTATTAATATAAGTAGTAGGTGCTATTTTGTTATTTTCGTACGAGTTTTGTGTTATCGATCGAGTTTGTTTGCGAGTCGTGTTTTGTGCGGGCGAGTCATCAGCTGCGTCCGTCGAGCTCGCCCCGCGGCGCTCTACTGACGGCCGGCGTCGTTGCGTCTATAAAATCCTCGAGAGATGTCTGGTGTCGGTCGTATCATGTCGATACAATAATGGCATTACTGTTTATATCGACATGACATCTATGGAGTTTAAGAATAAAATATGACACAAAATTTTATTATCAATGTTTAAAACTGTCTTTCTTTTATGTAGCACAACCTAAAAAGTGTCTTGGAGAATAATAATAATAATTTTGTTAATTCTGAGGTGCCATATTACAAGTATGCGCCCGACCCAGTTCTCGAAAGTGGTATATCACGCTGTGCTGGGACCGATCTATCATCACTGACTCAGGACTATGGTTGCCAATAAGCCTGACGAGAACCTCATGAATATATATATATATAAAAAGATAAGGTGGAAGATGGCGGAATAAATAACTTGATTAAAAAAAAACTTGTATTATTTGTTTTTCGTGAGTTTTTGTTAATTTTCTTTTATACAAACCTTGTATGAAACAGAACACAATAAAAAATAATTATCTAATTTGGTGCAGTCATTCGGAAGTGAAGCGCATACATAATTTTTGACGATTTATTTTTATATAAATAAATTAGCCGGAATAAGTACTAATCTGTTCTTCATTACTAATTCGTATACTTCATTATGCGAACGGCTAGGGAGTGGAACTTCTTGCCGAGGTCTATTTTCCTGGACCAATACAATCTGGACATCTTCAAGGCCAGAGTGAACAGGCATCTCCTAGGCAAGCGTGTACTATCCGAGGCCTCATCATCGCTTTCCATCAGGCGAGATTGTGGTCAAACGCCTTGCCTATTAAGCAACATAAAATATAAAACAACTTAACTGCCAAAGTGTGTGTGTAGTATATAATTGTCGATATATCGATAGTAACACTTGTTACATCACTATGAATTTCGCTGGTTGAGCCCGCTGCAGAGGGCGAGGGGACACTTGCGTTTTGACGACCCGCTATTTAAATGAATCCGATCCGAGTCGTTTGTTTGTAGATTTCAAAGAATTAAATGACTGTCTGGGAGTCAGTTAAATGTTTACCTGAATTTTTAATTAAATAGGTAACCTTTAAAAACTCATCCCACTAATATTATAAATGTGAAAGTTTGTGTTTGTTACTCAATCACGCAAAAACTACTGAATGGGCTTAGATGAAATTTGGTACGCATATAGTTTATGACCTGGATTGGATATTTACAGGATAGTTTTTATCCCGGGAAAATATCAGGTTCCTGTAGGATTCTCAAAAAAAATAAGTTAACGCGAACGAAGTCGCAGGCGGTCGCTAGTATTTAATATAGATACAGACTTCTATTTACCTGTCAATAAACATTTGAAACTAATTTGTGTGCTGTCTGACTTGATAAAATTGCTCATATCTTTACAGCCTCTGAAGTCGCGTGTCAAATTATAATATGGGTACCAATTATGTTTGTAAATTAATTTCATCAACATTATAAATAGGACTGTAATTATTCTTGTTCTATTGGATATCTTTTAACTAAAGCAACATGGCAAATTTTATCTAAATCATTTCAGTAAATGTGCAATTTCCTTTTTAATCAACTTAAAAATAAAAGAAATAAAAACAGATTAATGAAATAAACACATTATTTAGAGTACTAATTAACGCTAAAAAAGTTTTGGAGGTTCCTGCAGATTTATTGGCGTCGAACTCAAAACTACTGAGTTAACATTTTTGCTTTATGAAAAAAAAGGCTGGTAGTTTGACAGTAGAGTTCAACTAAAGCAAAAATAATGTAACGCTTTTTCTTTTGCAGGTACTTCAAATGTACAAACAGTTCACGTAACGGTAATATTTAAGAGAAATTTATTTAATTTATTAATTTTATAATATTATTAGGTTGACGTCACTGTATAAAATAAAACGAAGTGCGTTTATTTTAATATTTTTTATTTTTTTAACAAAATTACACTTTAAAATACAGATACAACAGGTACAACAGGAACAGGTATTTAAAATATACTTACCATATAATACAAGATTTATTTATTGTTTTTCTTTGCCCACCGATTTATTTCGACTGATATAAACAAAACATTGCGGACTACTCCAAGCATATTTTAAGTTAATTACCTGATGCTATTAACAGTTTTAAATATCACTAAAAGTAAAAACATTGTTCAAATTTTAAATATAACAGTTTAAAATTATTTAAGAATGCTACCCAGTTCCAAGCACTGCAACATTGTGTAAGGATAGGTAATGAATAAAGGCGCAATTACATTTGATCGTTAGCTCGAATACGATTGCCTATGGAATTCGGACAAATGTCTAAGTGTAAATGACGGGAGTCTTGTACGTGTAAATCTTTAAGTTGTAGCTATTCTTCGCTGGAGCTCAATAGGATTACAATTTTTTTTTCTGTCTTTTTATTGATGGACCAATCAATCTCAATAATATTTCAAAATCAGTTTTTGACATTCTAGTAAAATTATGAAAAGACCCATCAAATCCACGAAGGTCAACATTTACATAACTTTTATTGACGACCTCCGTGGCCGAGTGGTTTGTACGCCGGGTTTCATGGTGTCGCCGACTCGAGAGGACCCGGGTTCGAATCCCGGTGGGGGCAGATGTTTGTGTGATGAATACGTGCATTTGTACTCCAATCATGGATGTTTAATATGTATTTCTATATTAATATACAGTATAATATATGTACAGTATACATATTCTAATCGTTACCTTAGTATCCCATAACACAAGCCTTATAGTGCTTACTTTGGGGCTAGGCTAAATGGTGTGTGTGTGTGTTTGAAATATTTATTTATTTTAAATGTAGTTTCGAACCCACCACCTTTTCCTTTTTTTTTCTTGTAGTTCTCTCATGAATAACTACGTAAGTGGCACAGAGCAACACCACCTCCTCGGGAAATATCCTACCAACAACTGACTAGTGTGGACAGCAGTTTCAGAAACATACGGTAAACTTGTTTTTATCAAGGTTGAAGTTCATCACTTCATAAACAGTTTATCTACAAATGTTGCCTAATGAATATGCGGCATTAATGATGTGTTTTGATATGTGTACATATATATACACTCAAAGTCCCTAGTACGCACGCTACTCGCGAATCTGCTACGACGTACGATACACTCGTCGAAATTAAAGAAGTCCGAAGTACGTCATTTTATAAATTTACGCAACATCACATGGAGCTCAGTTTTATAACTTTGGGATACGTAATTTGAGTTACTGAGTAAACCAACGAGAATCGAAGTCGTCCGATATAGGCAAAGGTTCCACGAATCCGGCCAGAATGTTCTAAACTTCCGTATTTACTTCGAGCAACTTCGTAAGTAGTATAGTGGGTATTTTAGAAGCTTTCCAGCTTCACACAAAGAGCCCGCGTGCCGCGTACTCGTTGTGGCTACCGAGTTACTGAGGTTGGCCATTGTACCTTTTCTCTTTGATTTATGAAAAACAATAGAGAGAAACAAACAAAAATAGGGAAAAAGCTTCGTGCAATTTATTCAAGGGACGGTTTGAACTTTCTTTTGTAAAGCGTTTGTTGGGTAAAAGCTTCTAACATGTGAAGCGAGAAAGTCCCATAAATACCAATCCATAGGTAAAGTTAATAGTTTGTTCATGTCTATGAAAGTCCAGAAATCATCCGCAAGTGTATGGATTTTTTAAGGCATTGTTTAATGTTATATAAAAAGTCACTATTTTTTAAGCAAATAGGTATATTTAAAACAAGCAGGTACTAATTCAGGAGCTGGCGAACAAAACGGTGTAATTACATAAAATTACATTTTACAGGAGCTGTATAAAGCTGAATGACATACCTATAGGGAGGTTTTGGCATGGTTTTTAATTTTGTAATTTTAACACTGTTTTAGGTGGTTTGATTGAAAATTATTTGAGATTCAAATTCAACGGGCCCGAACGCTCCGGACTGTAAAAAACAATAGTTTGACCAGATGCGTAATTATGCCGTTTTGTTCGCCTGCTCCTCAATTAATAAAAAAGCAGGTAATAATTAATACAAAAAAGTTTTTTTGATCTGTTTAGAACTCCTGGTTTAATCGTTTGGATGGTTTGACCAACTAATGTCCCAAATAATGACAGTTAAGAATTTACTATAAGTATGCATTAAAGAAGTTATTATAAGCGTGCATGCGTATAATAACTTCTTTTCTGTAATTATAACGTTTGTTCGTTTAAATTGATTCTTAATTATTTAGCTGTTCTTATTAGATATGTATATATTTATTTGAAAATAACAATACTGGGTTGGATATAACAAAAATAAAGTTATATAATTGCACAAAAGATATCTAAGGTACTGTTTATATCATGGGCACAGAGCATGTAATTAATCATAAAAGAGATTGGTCAAATTGGCCTAAATGCAAATAAAATATTGACATATACAGTAAATCTTGGCGTAATTTATACTTTATTTTACAGTCATTAGATTTTAACGGCCACCTTTAAATAATATATTAATTTTAAAAAAGGACTTCTATTTTTACCGGTTTGGAAAACATACGAATCATTTTTATTGGCTATGGGTGTAGTAACATTCACAAAGACTGATCGAGGTTGTTTATATAACATCAAAACAAATCTATTTTGTAAAGATTGATAAAATATTTCGATGATATTTTAATTCAAAATGTAGATGATATGTAATATTAAACGCAACATAAAAGTACTTAAGTTGTTTTATTTCATTAATTTACCTTATCAGAATATTTAAGCTATGTCAGGAATATACATATTTCACACATTGATCAGAACTATCATGAACCTACGCAATATATTATTACATTAGAATTACTTTTTACCATTATAAACCTAATTATTACTAAGAAAATATCCTATTGGTTTTTATAAAATTATGATAACAGTTCCATGTTTCTCATAACATAGGTAAGCAGGTACCAGTTCCTTGACATGCATTTTGTTAGTGTAATTAGTGTTAGACACTTGTCAAATGAAACAAGATTGCTTCTGAAAGTCGCAATGGCATAATCATGATTTTAAAACTTACTCTTGTGCATTAATTTTAAAAACAGGCAATTATCTGTTATTTTACATGCTCTATATACCTGAATCTAATACATAATATCGGTACTTGGCTTGATTGCCCTATTTTCCTATATAGGTTATTTGGTTTTTATTATTCTAATACCTATGTGCCTATTTGCAAACATAACCTCAAAATCATTCAGTGTATATGGTTTATAGAAGTTCTCAGGAGTGGCCGTCGATAATATTCGTTTCTACGGTAATTTATATATAATTTCGAATCTAGGAAACAATTTTTCATGGTTATTGGTTTTTAGGCCAAACATGTATGGAAGCTGAGCAATCTCCTTTAAGAGGTTTAATACGGGTTATATATTGGGCTATTACCCTTATTAAACATAGTCTGGCTATAAATACTGTTACAATAAAAATATCATAATATTACAATGTTACTTAATGAGGAGCTCGATGGCGCAAGTGGTTAGCGCGTTCGGCTGCGATCATGGAAGTTAAGCAACTTTCGCAGTGGTCGGTTATTGGATGGATGACCAAAAATTTACTATCTCGAGCTCCTCCGTGGTTCGGAAGGCACGTTAAGCCGCTGGCCCCGGCTGCATCTGCAGTCGTTAGCACCCACCAATCCGCACTGGGCCCTCGTGTGTTGGGTCGTGACCCAATCTCCCTATTCCATCCATAGGGAACGTCTGTGCCCCAGCAGTGTGGGGACATTAACAGGCTTATGATGATATGATGATGACTTAATGCTATGATCTTTCATAAACGATCATTGAAAAATCAATAGAGTGGTAAAATCAAAACAACTTATTTTTAAAGTAAAATTCAAAAATTCAAATTTCAATATCGTTTATTCAGTCTAGGCTGTTACAATCACTTGTGAATGTCGAAAAGCTACGCCATCGGTTCGCAAATCTACGGCGGGAGACCTTGTACTGAGAAGAATCGGCAAGAAACTCAGCAAGGGCTGTTTTTTTCTCCCTGTATTATATACAGAGTGGTCAATTTGAAAAATGACTTCAATATGAGACAACTCATGAAGTCACTTTCCATTACAAATGTAAATGATAAAACAATTAAGACTATAAAATAAAAAATATAAAAAACAGATTAAAAAAAGTTTAGGAATGCCGCGTCCTACTGTTTAGGCATAAAAACAAATGTACGTAGTAAAAACATAGCCTTGGTCATAAATAAACAAAACTTATTATGTACAATGTTGCTTGCTACTATCATGCGTTAACCGGAGGTTTCAGATATCTACTAGATTCTGCCCGCGACTTCGTTACCGTTAATTTTAGTTTTTTGGAAATCCCACAACCCACCCTAATATTTTCCGGGATAAAAAGTTTCCTATGTCCCACTCCAGGTAATAAAGCTATGTGTGCCAAATTTCATCCAATTCCGTTAAGGCTTAATGCGTAATTGAGTAATAGACATACAATATTTCACATTTACGATATTAAGAAGACTGACGGGAAAATCTTAAAATCGAGCTATCACGAAGCTATGAAGATTTAGGCTTGTTTCTCGGCCGGGCTACCAATGCGAGACCCATCACAATGAGCATGGCACCAGCCCACCATCGTACCGATGCACCTTCATCGAAAAACACCACGCCGATCAGACCCTAAATAAAAAAAAATGGTAAATTTTGTATTCCAACAATAGTAATATCGGGCGTAATAAATTAATCTAGCACCAAATGCAAGACCAACACTCCGAGTCCTACTAATATTTTAACCTTTGGCCGTTTCTACATATCAACGTATATAATAGTTCACGAATCAAGCTTACTAACCAAGCTTGATGCTAATCTTATTTAATTTGTTCTTAATCATATATGTACTACCTATGTTACACAATAGTTATAAGTTTAGGTATACTAGATAAGAGGAGATCGTGGAAGTTAAGCAAATTTCGCAACTTATTATCTCGAGCTCTTCCGGGCTTCGGAAGGCACGTTAAGCCGTTGGTTCCGGCTGCATCTGCAGTCGTTACTACCCACCAATCCGTACTGGGCCCAATCACACAGCCCAATCTACCTACTCCATCCATAGAGAAGGCCTGTGCACCAGTAGAGGGGACTTCGAAAGCTAAAGAAACCCTAATCACCCTCAGAAACGCAGAACCAAAAAAATAGAAGGTCCTTTCCCAGGCGGGCAATCTTCTCTCCACCGCTTTTAAAGCCAATCTTGTACCTGATAATGCAGAACAGGTATCTCGGCTTTACTAGTGTTTAAAATTCCCCCTTCATAATATTTTTAGTGAACTGTTTCTCAGCCACCCAAACTTGAAGATCTCATCAGTCTTTTAATGTAGCACACATTGCTGGGGCACAAGCCTTGGATGTACTAGGGATATACTAGAAGATACTGGAGCTGGAATGACAGGACTGATGCCATTCCTCACGCAAAATAGGCACATGGTGTCGAGTTGTGGAAACAGCCCGACGTAATACTAAAACTATGAATGCTTTGAGACTCGGTGCAAGTAAGTAGTGCATGTTGAGGCAATTGCGCAGGTTATATGCATTGTGAAAACACCTTGCAAAGATGTGTGCAGATCAAGCGACTCGAACATGTACCAGGGCGAGCCACCCGCGCAACCAATCCGCGCACTCTGCTGCGCGCGTAGGTCACTAGCGCATGCTACTTGACCAGGCTGTAAGTGTCGCCGCACACGGGCCACCGACCGCAACCACAAAACGCCGCCACCGGCATATTTCTTGTAGTTTTCATACATTTTATATGGACTCGCCACACACGGTAGACGGTACGCCGGTGGCCACCACTCGCTACAAATCGTCGTTGCTCGCTTCTTGTGGCCTGCAACGGCCACTTAATGCGCCGATACAAAACGCCGCCACACGTCACTCGCGCGATTCCCCACCCCTCTCTCCCTTACCTTAGTCGGCCGCTGTCGTGCGCTTCAGCCACTTTAGTAGCAGCTTCTAGCTTCTCATGGCAGCGTTTGTGGCTGTGGCGTGTAGCCTGTGTGCGGCGACACCAACATGTAGCTCTCGACCACGAAAACTTATGTGTACTGCTTGCGCAAGTAGCCCGTGTCTTAGCTTGCTCCAGTCATGTGCACTATGTACAAAAACAAGCGAGTAACTTTATTAGGTAGCTGATGCACACTACTCGCGCATACTCAGATTGGGGTTTACAATAGCTAAAATTACTTGGACTATAACCCGCATATTTAGTTGCTTCAGCTACTTGCACCGTGAAGAAGCAGCATATTCAGCTTCCTCCGAGACAAAAGGAAAATACATAAACCAATGTTTCCAAAACTTTGTTATTGAGAGTAAAGATGTAAATAGACTGATTACAAAAGGACCATGGGGGATTTTGTATGGACCCCGTATCCACCTTGCAACAGATGTCACCCTGCAATCGATGGGGTTTAATTATAATTAATAAAAAACTTTTCAGCAAAGATGTGTTTATTTTCATACAAGAATAAATATTTCTTAAATAAATGGTCTCGAACTGAAAAATTATTGACTTACAAATAAAATGTTTAACTTAATGTTCGTTTTTAAGCGACTTTAGTCATTACATGTTTTGTTATTGTTGTTCGCCCATCTCTCCGAAAAGCGTGAACCGATTTTGATGTTTTTTTTTTGTTTGAATTAGTTTTTTAGTGAAAAGGTCCGGTATTAATTTGGTGAGGATCCAATCAGTACTTTCGGAGAAAATAATGGAATCCTTAATAAAATAACAAGCAGTACTCAATTCGTGTTTGATTCTTTTAACAGAATGAAAGAGGTAATGCAGGTCAGGTACCAAGTACTCGGTAAGTTAATCTTACTCTGGCTTATAAAAAGTGTAAAAACTTTTTTAACATAAATAAAATCCTTCATGAAGACAAAACTAATAAAAAGCAGAAATAATGCATATTCTTTACTTATATCTACATTTAAATTAAAAAATAATTTGAAATTGGTACCATGCGTATCGATAGATCTGAGTTGCCATTTACTCCTTGGGTTGGTTTGGATTTCACTTTGGATTTTTCAGGTTCTATCTAATTCATTTTACAAGTCGTGAACTACCGGTCCGATTTAAATCATTTTTTTTGTCTTTAATAGTGCATTTATGCAGGAAGGTTATAAGCTACATATCATAAAGAGACAATAAAAAAGAGCGGAGCAGCAATGTAAAATGTTGCAAATACGAGAAAAAATATCCCATTTGAGAGCTTCCGTTGCGTGCGCTGCCTAAACGATAAAAGTTACACAAATACGATGTATGGCGGAATTTTTCTCCTTTAAAAGTTGTATAAAAAAGTCCACGACAGCATAATATATCTATCTTTTAAGGGTGACCCACTATAACCTATTTCTATAAATTAATGCGGGTGAAACTGCATTGCACTTCTAGCTTTATAAAACCTAAACCTCATATATTAGTGCTAGTTTAGTGCTAATTTAGTGCTAAAATCTGAAATTTAATGCTCTCATAGTTTCATGAAAAATTAGAACACTGCCAGCTTTTAATTAAGCTAGCAGTGTTTTCCCTGAAACGCCTATATTAACGCGGTATAGAACTAAAGCAATGCATAGGGAATTTAGTGCTTAATGAGTGCTGGCAGTACCTGATAAAAAATGTCGAAAAAAAAATATTTTTTATCAATCAAAACTGCTAGTATGACAGTCTGAGCAAGTCACCGGGTTGAATGCATCACTCTGGATCGAAGATGACATCATAAGCACATTAAGCACTAAATTCCCTATGCATTGTTTTAGTTCTATACCGCGTTAATATAGGCGTTTCGGGGAAAACACTGCTAGCTTAATTAAAAGCTGGCAGTGTTCTAATTTTTTCGCGAAACTATGAGAGCATTAAATTTCAGGTTTTGGCACTAAATTAGCACTAAACAAGCACTAATTGATGCACTTTGTTTTAAGCGATTCTGCTTACTTTGCCATGCTAGCTTAATAGACGTCATATATTAGAAGTTTGTCGCCATCGTAAGAAATTAGCTATTCTCTTAGGCTCTCTCGTTTGCGTATAAAATTCGATTTATTTATGGTTTGTTAAGATTTTGTCTCAGAGGAAATTTAATGGAGTATAGAAGATAATATTATCATAAAAATTAAGTATACTGACAGACAATACGTAGCTGGTAGCGGCTGATACAACTGTTGGTGCTACCGAGTTACTCGCCGCATCCAGGGAGCGCAAGTAGTGCCTGCAGCCCCACGTGTTAACTAATACCATCACGATTAATAAGGCTGCCCAAATTGTGTAACTGTCACCCTTTAAAAAAACAATGTTACCATTAATTTTGATTTTACTTATATTCTAATGTTAAGGAATTGGCCATATTGTGGAATATGAATCCTTTATCATTTCAAACTAAAGGGGTTAAATAAAAGATTGGTCTCGCTTCACTCGACGATGCGAGACCAATCATTCATCTATGCTAAAGGAAATAAATACTTTGTAACAAAAAATTAAACCGCCGTAAAGCAAAAAAATAATAAAACCTTTTTATCTTTAGTCAAATAGTGTATTTGACAGTTTTAAAAATAAAGTGCCAATTGTTAGCATCTGTGTTTATAAAGAATATTGGCAGGGGTTTTTACTATTTTTACAAAAAAAATATTCATAATTTTACAAAAAACCCACGAAAAACATAATAGTTTTCTTATCTAATGCCACGTGACGCAAAACGCTTGGGATTGGCAGAGCCTAAAACGACGTCACACGCAAGTAAACTTCCGGTTAAAGTGATATACATTATATCGTTTGACGTTTTAATAACAGTCGTGTGACGTCACACACTAGTAAGACGTCATATTGTCCAGAGAAACGTTTTCGCGGCAACTTGAAAATGGAGTTTTTGAATAAATTATTTTTACTGAAATACACAACAGAATAATGAATATCCATTTACGGACTCCATAAACATTAGTCAATAACGTGAGATCGTTTTCTAAACCTTGTCAAATACCCCATTAATATTTGGAGTCGGTGCCATGCATGTATAATAGATCTGAGTTCCCATTTACTATTAATATTCAGGTTCACTTACTAAAATGTAATAATAAAAAATCTTACTTGAATACCAAAATATATCGATACGAATTGTGGCCAAATGGTGTTTTTTTTAAAGGTTACACCTTTGTAGTTATTTAGACTATAGAGATAATAATAATTAATGCAGATTGTTTAACCCTTGGATTGGCAAACATATTTTTTGCTGAATTTGGTAATTCTATCTATTTAATCTTGTTCTACGGTCAGTTAAGGACTGTTAAAAAATAGTACAAAAAATTCAGTTTTCCGGAAAATTGATGTGCCACACATGGAACATTGCCAATTTTTCTTGATTTCTTTTGTGCTAATGGATGTTCCTTAGGTGGTACATTGCTAAGTTAAGGGTAAGAGTGTGTAAATAAAAAACTGTGTTTTTTTAATCAAATTTAATCCTCTATTAGACATAATGCTATACCTAACAAACAGTGGATACATTGATCCTAAAAAAATCAAAAACAAATATTTATTAATACTAAAAATATTGTAAGTACCTATTCAAAGTTCTGAATAGAAAGTTTATACTTAAATCTATTTTTTAGTATGAAATGATAGAAAACAGTTTCTACGATCCCTTCCGGGAACAAAACAAAGCCACATGTTGCATTTTATACAAAAAACATTGGTTTTCTGTTGAGAATGCCTACAACGACCTCGTTCATTTCCTATATCTGGAAAGTGTCCAATATCATCATATTTGATGGGACTCGAGGGCCTGGGAATTGTTAGTTTATTTACCTTACTTTCAATGGAAACCACGCGACTAACTGAAATACCATGTTTCTTTAGTTCTTCATAAACCTCTCGCCTGAAATGTATTCAGAGACATGGTCTTTTTCTGCGTGTTCCGAAATTTCAGCCAGGCATTGTTGAGGCATATCTCGACCAACTGGGCAAATATACCCATATACCATCTATTGGTTTTGAAACGAATTTTGTACAGAGAGATAAGCATGTCTGCCAGATCCACCCCTCCCATGTATTTATTATACTCTTTTACGATCATTGGACACTCTACATCAACTTTGGCTTTGTCTTCTTTGCAGTATCTTTTAATTTTACCGACGAGATCGGCACCCAAGTTTGAACTGATCAGTGTGACTGGTTTGTTGTCATTCCATTTTACAATAGACAATTTATTTCTGTTGCAAACTACTTGAGCATGTGAGTCTCTCCTTGTCTTCTTGAAGGTCTTTTCAACTGGCAGTACTTTCTCAGCACCTCTCATTCGGTCAGATCTAATTGTACCAAGTCCAAATGATCCGTAATTTTTCTCCAAAATGTTGAAAAGCTCCGGCGATGTAAAATAGTTGCCACAAAAGACAAAAGATCGTTTCTTTTTAATTGATTGACATAGCGCAATCACAATCTTTGCACCAAATCCTAAACCCTCTTCTTCTTCTGTGGTTACAGAATCGGAATGTATCTTCCCCTCGATATAAAAGGAAGTCTCTGTACAATCCATCTAGGCTAGCTCGTGCAAAATTCTTAAACCCCCATTTATTCGGTCTTTAAATATTTCATTTCCAAGTCTTTCCAGGGATGAATCAATACCAGGAGCTGGAGAAGTATGGGGGTCGTCACATGAAGAATTATTTGCTATGGAAGAAGAAGAGCTAGATAGTGAAAAGTACGAGCGGTTAGGAAGGGAAGGGTGAATCTGATTCACCACTTCCCTCTGAACATGCATAAATATTTGGGACAAGTGAAAAAATCTTCGCAACACGTGACTGTTTTAACTGTAAAGAAGCGAGAAAAAAAATCAACCCATAACCAAAAAAGCAAGAAATGGTAAACAAAACAACGCAAATAAGGATGACTAAATTGAATTTAAATGTAACTGACGGCCTAACTTAACTAAGTCCGGCTTTTGGCAGAGTCCCATGCAAGGTACATGCTAGGCGGTATCAAAATCCGTAGGCCATTGGCAGTGACCCACCCCAAGAACATACAAAAATATAATAAAATTCCTTTGCAGTTGGCAATGTACCATGCGTGGAACATCAACATAAAGAGGTTGTAAAAGTGATGAAAAACAAACAATAGCGATGAAATTAAAACATGGTGAGGTAATCTAGAGTTTTAGGAGCATGCTACTACAAAAGATTTTAGCCGCAAAGCATAAAAATGCAATAATATAATTAACTTACCTTGAGCACTGAAGAAGCACGACGTCTTGACGCCATTGTAACTGTCAAACTGACAGTTATAGTGTTGACAGGTCGGGAAAATATTTTTTACCGAAAAAAGATTTATAGTAGTTTATTGTTTTTTTTGATTTTGAACTTATTTTCTAAATAATAAATTAGCTAGATTTTTTGCAAGGTAGTGTTCCGCGCAAGGCACAGTACCAATCGAAGGGTTAAAAATATAAAAATAATAGGTCAAAATGGAGAAGAATGCGGATAATTTATAAACATATTGAAAATATCAATAATAAATAACTTTCGTTGTCGCATTCAATTTATATCTGCGGCATACTTGACAAATAAACTTGCGCAGTAGACGGTTTTGTATGTAAAATTGCTATTGCGCAGGATTTCTTATCTATGGTCCATACTCAAGAAGTTTGATGGGGTGAAGAAAACAAATGTGGTGTCGATTTTGGCGCGATTCTCTAAACTTAAAACCATAGATGTATGATCGACCTATCATTTATGCTAGATCTTGCTTAAAACTAATTTTAAACCTAGACCTATCATTTACCTATGCTTAAAACTAATTTTAACATCAGTCTCTCCTTTTTATTCTGTAAAGAGAAAGACAAGGATAAACTTTGTCAAATTTAAGTTTAGTTTTAGAGAATCATGCCAGAATCGACACCATTACCGCTAACTTGGCTGTTTGGTTCAATTATTATTTGCCTTCCAACATAATATTTAAAAGTAAGCGATAATAAAGAAATGCATAATTAATATACCCACTTTACTATTATTATTAGCACAGTTTACATAATGTACTTACCACAACATATTTTTCTCCGGCTAGTTTACCAATAGTGCTACCAAGAGATGACCAAAAACCAGCTAAAAATGCCTCCAACAACATAATAATAAATCAAAATGACAGTGATACCAGATATCATTCACTTCACTCATGCTTCACTCTAATATGATTGACACATATTTTATTAGATTTTAGGGATGTCCTATCTGAATCGATTTTTAAGAAGATCGATATTTTATTTGATATGAAACGATATTTAAGAATCTATCTTTGAATTGACTCAAGTCTTGCCAAAGTATGAAATATATTCTAGTCAATAGGTTACTATTTCTGAAGAAAGTTTTTAATGTTCTTGTAATCGTAAATATCGTATCGTAATCGTAAATCGATGTGAATGTAGTTAATAGGTTAGGTACTATTTCTCAAGAAAGTTGTAAATGTTCTTATAAATATTTTTTTCGACAACTTTAGATAGTAGGTATTGATAGCAGTATTAAAGGGCGGTAATTTGACATATTTTCTCTGTCACCCTTTTTAAATAATGGTTTAATATAGCTTGTTTGAGTTTTTTTGGGAATACGCTTGTATCAAAGCTAAGATTTATAACAAAACTTGGGGCACTGCTAATAAATGACCTACGTTCTTTATAACTTTTGTACAGAATCCATCAAAGCCTACGCTTGTAGTATATATTAATGATTTAATTACTCTATACAATTCCTTGGGTTTGACAGGTGCTAAGAATATAGTTTTTCAATTACTTTTTATGCCCGAAGGATCTATCTTATTTGTATAATTGCTATTATCTAAAGTATCTCTCTCAGTTGGTTGTGTTACATAACTATTGTCCAATTTTATTTTAGCTATGGGGTTTTTCGGACTACTGTTTTGGTTTTATATTTATTTGCCAAGAGACTTTAGATTTAGTTTCTGAGCTCTTTATGTGCTGAATATTTTGTGCTCGTTGTGTCAATGAAATAATTTTTCGTAATCTATACGTTTATCCTTTTAAGGCTGCTGTAGCATCAAGACTTTTATTCAGTCTATATTTACCATCAGAATTCTCTCTTTTTTTTACAACATAATTGGATTCCTCGATTAAGCCATTATCAACTTTGATAGTTTTTTTGTAGTTTTAATCGGAAAACATAAATCACAAAAGCATTTAAAAATGTGAAAAAAAGAACCGTAAGCTGTATCAACGTTGTCAGTGTAAAGTACATAACTGAAAGTCAGGTTGGCTATGCAATTATTAAAATTACTTAGGTTAGTTCTACTGTAATCTCAATGTTTAATTCGCCAAGAATTTATGGTGTGGGTTTTCTTCACAGGACACGTTAATATTTAAGCTAAATGATCGGACAGAGCTAGTTCGACTACCTCTGCCTTAGCGCCTTTAATATTATGACCGATATTGTCGAAACAGGTACCACCAATGATGTCAGACGTACCAACTTCTTGGTATACATACTAGTTTTTAGTGTCACGTACCATGTACCAAGGCTATTCAGTCCTTGTACGCAAAAATACCAAGATTGGCCGTTGACCGACAAAACGACTTCGTTATAAATCATTTATTTACTTTTTTCAATATATTTTACATATTATATCCGAAATGCAATATAATATCAAAAAAAATGTTAAAAGTGATATTTCTTGCGTGTGTTCGATAATCACTGCCCTCTATTAACGGTCTACGAAATTGAAATGTACATTTTTTTTACTGGGATGATGCGATTTCCCACACAGCTCCCAGAATTGGCAGCGCCGCAGAGCGGAGCACAGACGTACTAGTTTCCCGGCTCGAATACCAGCTTTCAGCCAGCTCGGCACAAGGATTTCTAGGTGCCCATCTAACATCCCTGGGTACCACTGCTCTTTCTTGTGGGCTCATAAATGGCAAGCCTCATTTAAAGTTTAGAGAATCATGCCAAAATCGACACCAACAATGGTGTCGATTCTAGCATGATTCTCTAAACCTAAACTTAAATTTGACAGCAGTATCTCCTTGTCATTCTCTATACAGAATGAAAAGGAGAGACTGATGTTAAATTTAGTTTTAAGTTTAGAGAATCACGCCAGAATCGACACCATTATCTGTTTATGTTATTTTATTACACAAAATAAGCTTTTTAAAGATATATATTTCATAGCTACCTTAATATCATGTAATACGATTTTTTTGCGATTTGGCATAGAAATTGGACTTATTGAATAAATTAAATAAGGAATCGATATTGGCAGATCGAGTCATCGCCCTTCCATATTGTAATTCATTTCATTCTTTCGTGAATCGTTCGTTTCGTTCTCTCGCTGAGTGAAAGAATGGAAGTACCTACTAAAGAAGTGGCAGAAAAGCAAAGAGTAGTACACACACAGATCATTAATGTAGCAAGTAGTAAAAGAAAGCTACAAACAGTGAAAAACCAAGCAAATAAAAGCTATCACAGATTTAAAAAAGGAATCTCATTGGTGGTTTCTAAAATCTTTTACGACCTCTTTTCTCAGTTTTAATATTATATTTGTACAGAATTCGACGTCGACCTCGTATCAGTTGAATAATACAGTGAATACAAGGATTTGATAAAGTATTGAATTCCAAGGCATTTTTTTAGACAAAATAAACTTAAGATTAAAAAGGAAAAACTTTACAAAATGAATGGAATAAAGGAAGGAGATAATATACTAATAATATGGAAAAACAATGACCAAAATGATTTATCAGCAATTGTCAATGAATTAAAAAAACTATCAAAAAAAGGACAAATTGTTTTAGAAAATGCGGATATGATTTCTGATTGTAAGTATAGTTTAAAGTATTGTTATTAGTAATTGCACAGACAGTAACCCCATGAGATTTTGGAAAAGGTATCAGAATTTAATATGATTGGTTATTTAACTTATGCTAGTCACTGTCTTAAGTGGAGAAACAACCATAGAAAGGGAAATACAGGTTTTGTTTTGTTTCAGCATCTCGGCAACATTCATCATTTGATGTTGTTATGTCTAACTGGTTGGCACCATATGGCATCAACCACACCGACAATCTTCTAGCTATCATTATCAAACTACTTAAACCAAGTGGTAAACTTTTATTAAAAACTGAAATAGATCTTATTAGTGCACTAAAATTAAATGGTTTCATCAATGTATGCAGAGATGATAATATCTTCACAGCAGAAAAACCAAAATTTGAGGTGTGTATTTGATAATAGTTCAAATAGAGCTGTAACTTATAAGCTGTTTCAGCTTGAAAATTTTTAAAGCCAGAACCTCTTAACAGTATTACTATGAAAATCCGACTTTCTAAATTATAAATTGGATAATATTTACTTACTACTCATTCACACTTTTACAGCTGTAGAGGTTTCTATGAAGTTTGTCACATAGATAGTTAATAAAGAATATTAGATCCTGCTAAGTATTTCATAAATAAATCAGTATAGCTAATTTGAAAGGTGAATATTATAGACATTTCTCAGCATTTAAAAAATATTTGCTGATAACTTTTGGATATAACAGAAGCTATTGAGTGATGATGCTCAATAGCAGATACCTGCAAGTTTAAACCAGTTAGCTTATTTTTTGCACTGTAATGTGGTCAGTTTTGAAAGCAAAATGACTGCACCAAAATGAATTCTTTTGATTTCATGCCTTTTTTGAGATTCAAACTTTTTCTGAATCTTGTGTTAGTCCCGCGTATAATTAATATTATGTGAATAAATGTTCAAGGTGGGCTCCAAAGCAACCCTTAAATTAGGCAACAAACCAGCTGTATGGAAAATAGATGACACTGTTGAAGCTCAGTGGAATGGTGTTAATGATGATGAAGTCATTGATGACAGCCTATTACTGGATGAAGATGATCTCAAGAAGCCAGACCAGCAATCTCTTAGAGGTGGGTTGCTTCCAGTCTTGTTATTCAAGAGCATTAGTAAAACATTTATTTTTATGTTAAAAGTGTGGCAAACAAGCTTACGGCCTACCTGATGGTAAGTGGCCACCATAGCCTATAGATAGCCCCCTATGCAGAGGATGCATGGAGGCAGAAGACACGCCACATGTCATCATGGAATGCAGGAGTGTGACCAACCAAGGGGCATGACTTCTCCAGTTGCCAGAATCGTTTCTGGAAGCTTGCAGCAGTCTACCAGGGCTGCTTTCCTTCTGGACCAATATAGGCTGGCTGGAGTAAACGGAAGTGTTTTGAGACACGCACAATGGTCTAATAATTAGGACTAAGTGCCGAAACCGCCCTGAAAAAGTAAACTAAACTATAAAAGCCTATAGACACTTGCAATACAAAGCTATTACTCACACTTTTGCATCCTCTGACCCCATCCCCTACCCTGTGGAGCACTGGAACCTTACTCACCAACAGAAACACAACACTACCAATGGATTATTTAACTGTGGTCTTGTATGTGTTTTCTTAAAATATTTCACTTAGCAATGATAACACAATGTGGGCTCCAATTATTTATTAAATTATTAACTACCACTTAAATCTATATGAATAGATACATGTTGATGGTTGTTTTTTTTATCTATTCCACTACTCCAATCTAGATTCCAATTTGTACAAGTAATATTTGCCAAACTTTACTTATATTTTTATAATTTTGTTATTTAGAACTACATATTTCACTTCTTCATACTCTTAAACTACATAGAATAATATTGTGAAGCAATAAAAAATATTTGTTAGTCTGTTTACAAGTTGTTCTATAGTAAAAAGAACATATCCTATGTATGTAGATATTTTGGTCCACCCATTATTTATCAACATCATGTCAAGGTCAACCTATAGTTTATTTTTGAAAAGTCAATTCTATTTGTGACCAAAATAAAGTTCTTAATAATATGAAAATATTAATTTGTGATACAGATATCAATGAAAGCAAGGTAAAACATAGGAATACATTAAAGATTTATAAAGTACTTTATCAAATTTTATTATCTTTCTGACTGCACAATCTAGATCATAACATCAGGTAGATGGAGGTTTTGTGTTCCGAGCGTTCAATGACGTATGTCTAGGCCGCGCGTTTGTGTCGCGTCATTCGCGCTTCGTCGTAGTCGAGGTTTTGTGTTGCCAAATTTTATTGAATCGCCCGCCATGCAAATGAATGAATGCCTCATACTTTGAATGAAACTCGTGAACTTGAGAGGCGAAACTGAGTCATTTGTTACTAGATTAGGTTGCTTGGAATTCAAAGTTAGGTTTTTCGGCCATTCAGCATCCAACTAATCCTACTTCCTTCTAATATTATTAATGTGAAAGTATGTATGTTTGTTACTTAATCATGCAAAAACGGCTGAACGGATTAGGGTGAAATTTTACACACTGACAGCTTTATCTGGTAAGACACATAGGATACTTTCTTATCCCGCAAAAAATTTAGATCTAAACCCCTGACTAAAGAAAATGCGGACAAAGTCGCGGGCGGCCGTTAGTTATATTATATATGTGAAAATTTGTAAGTTTGTATGTTTGTTACTCAATTAAGCAAAAACTTTTAAACGGATTTGAATGCAATTTGGTACGCATATGTTAAATATTTAATAAATTATATGATGATTAGACCCGGCTTAAAATCAAACTTTTACATTTACAATATTAGTAGGATTACGATAAAATATCACTATATCACATTTACGACGCTTTTATTCTCAAAAATTATCAAGAATTCTTTAGCTTTAATTTTACAAATTAAACACTTCTGCTGCGTAAAGTTAGTTCCTAATGAATTTTATGTCATTAAGATAAAAATATTCTGATTTGTATTCCAGTATGCGCGACAACGGGGAAACGGAAGGCCTGTGCGGATTGTTCCTGTGGCTTAGCTGAGGAATTGAAAGGAGAAGTGAAAGACACACCCAAGTCTTCATGTGGCAGTGTAAGAAAAAAGTTTATAACCACTTCATTTTTTTTAATACAAGGCACAGTAAATTACCTACTCTGCATATGTGTATTGGTCAATTCATACTAGCGCAAAATCGAAGCACTGAAACGTAAGAAAGCAAATTCACCCTTATCACCTCAATATAATGCACATATTCAAAAAGACTTTATTCAATAACGTTTCGACTCTGTGCTAGTTAATTTGATTTGACCATAAGAGGAGTCCGAGTGGTCACTTACTGACCGAAGTTTTATTTTCATTTTTTAGGACTGTTGTAACGTCGTATTTACGCCGTCACATACATAGATAAATAATATATGGTTTGACATCCGTCACTTAAGGATTTTCCCTATTTTTTTTTAATAAACGAAACACATCTTTAAAAATTGTCTTAATTTCATAAAACATTAAAATAAATACGTAATAATTGTTATTCTAAATTTAAGAAAACTTTTGTAATTTATGGTTAGTCCATGCCCAAATTTAAATTTTAATGCGCCAACACTGAGACTCGCGGCGTTTTTGGAAGTGCGACCTGGCAACATTACTTTTCGGTTCTTTGCAAACACGAACAGTCACTTTTAAAAATGTGAAATATAATAATAATTTATAGTTCGGTTTCTTTTTCCAAAAATGCGCTCATCGCATTTTTGCAAACTAATATTGGTGCCAATGGCCCATTAGTAAAACTTTAAAAGAGCTGCGATTGCAGGTAAGAATTAAGATTAAAATTGTCATACATAGGTATATCTAGCCATGTTGCCTGGTCTCACAAATGTCTCTTTTGTTTCAGCTCTTTATACTCTTTATCTTGTCTTTATCATCTTTAATTTTAATGATATCTTTATAAATATCATTTTGATATCCTTGACCATGGACCAGCCATAATAGTCTAAGTAAATCTGATACTTAATGTACTTTGACGCCTGGAATCCTATCTGGTATGTACACTTTCACAATAAATAATTGAAGAGGAAAACACCTTTATCATTCAACCCTAGTCAAAACTGGACTTGAGATTAAAGGCCGATGTTCCCGTAAGTTATTCCGGACACCTGGAGATATCACCAGCTTCCCGGCGCCCGTTACAACTCTCACTTTAAATGGAAGCTGAGAAGCTAAAATCGGCTACCATCAACCGGCCTTCTCCAGCCTTTTTCGTTCTTTTTTTGAAATAACTAACTATATAAATAATTTACACAGTTTTTTAATTTTTTTACCTTACAATGTCGCCTCTCACATAGGGACAGGATTTTGACTAGGATATTTTGTAACTTTGTAAGTGAAATATAGTTATTTTGCTATATCCATCATAACTTTTACATTTTGCATAACATAAATTCATTAATTTTTCACTTTTGAACTGAATGTTATTATCACATAACATACATCGAGTAACTTTTTCCATTTTTGCTTGAAAGCTTTGTTTTGGCAAGCTTATAGCCATATTTTACTTTCATTATAAACTAATTTGCTATTATGTAATTAGTACATAATATATTTTAGAATAAATAGATTCTGAGAAGAAAATGTGATGCTAATAACCGTTCACACAACTTTCTTTGACCATATTTTGATATTTAACAAATTATTTGCAAATAGTCATTGCATAATATTGTTGTTTTGTTATTTAATGTGCATTTCAGCTTTCAGCAAGAAATAAATATTGTTTCATGCATAATTTACTTGTGTTAACCTATCATTTACAGAATTGTGTAAACTTAATATAAGTTCAAGTAAGTACATGTGTTTATTACTAAGTGTTTACTGAAAATAGTTTAATTGTTTAATCCTGTTGTTAATCACTTATGCACAGTGTCTATTAATCAGTTTTCTATGCAACTATCAATGCAAAATTAACTTTGTTTTTACAACAACAATACATAACAAGTTTTATTACATGTCAAACTTAAGTTTTGTACATTGAAGTTCAAATGTTTTGATATAGTATCAGGTTAATTCTGATATTATACTGGTTAATTCATATTCCTGAATAACTGTTATTGTTTAATTTAACTGTAGGTTTCCATAAACATTGCATTTAACTTTCCAATTTGTCAATAAATTTCTACTTAAACTTTCATTGCAAATCTTAGTATACAATGATATGAGATAACTTTTATTGCATAAAGTGTTTGTTTACAAGAATTAGTTCTTGGTAATTCTTATTTTTATTGAATAATTGATAAAATTATTGGATTTTAACCTTAAATTAATGTTAGTTTTATAAAAACAACTTAAATTTATTAGAAAACATTACAACTTGGTAGTTTTTGTTAAACTTACAATATAGTTTAATATTTTTCTGTGAAATAGAGAAAATAACTTAAGTCTTATAAGAATCTTACACTATGACGGATAAGGAGTGTCAAACTGATAAAATCATGGCAGGAACTTCAGAAAATAAGTCAAGAAGGGTTTCTGTGGGTTCAAAACAGGATGAAGATATGATTACTTTAGATGAAACACACGTTAACTTTAACCGGAATATGGGTGCAGAAAATTTTCCATCCCTTTTAGATTCTTCAAACTTTAACCAAGGTATACTTGATAATAATTTACCGTTGGACAATAGTAATTGTGCCAAACATACTGTTGTTTATCGCAAACCTTTTGATTTTTCGAAACTTAACCTTACATATAGTGGGAAAACTTGTCCAATAGAATTCTTGAACCGGCTTGAGGAGTTAAAAGCAGTGAAAGGTTACACCGATCAACAATGTTTTGTTGCATTGCCTGTATTGTTGACCGATTTAGCCCTGAAATGGTATAGAGGAAGAAAGGATCACATTTTTGGTTGGATTCAATTCTCATTGGAACTTAGGAAACAGTTTACTTCCCCGGATCACTTTTATAAGTTGGAGACTGAAGTTAGGAACAGAAAACAGAAAGTAGGTGAAACTTTGAGTGAGTTTATTATAGAAATTTTACATTTATCTTCTCAATTACTTGTTCCCATTAGTGAACGCAACCTTTTAGAAATTATTAAACATAACATGCTTCATAGGTATTCTTTACACTTAATTGGCAGACCAATCTCAACCGTAGATGATTTGATGCATTTGGGAAGAGAGATTGAACAGTACCAGCCGGACAGATCAACCTCTTTTGCTAAACCTGCACAAACAGATTCAAAATTAAACATTAAACCATTACCTAGATTAGATTCAGTTATAAATTGTAGAAAATGTAAATCATCTGGCCATTCCTATAAACAGTGCACTAAATTTCCTGGAATTCATTGTTTTAAATGTGGAAAACCGAACACTTTGACCAAGGATTGTGATGTATGTAAACAGGGTACTTCTGCAACGGCATTTCCAAAAAACGAGTGAGTGGGCGTGTCGGAACGCTTCTCGATAGGAAAAGTGTCATGAACTCGCCCGAATTAAATCAAAATTCTTTAACTTTAACATGTAAAAATAATAATACTTTTGATAGGGTGGTTTCTTCTATGTTTAAGTCAGATAATTCAGACAAACGCCCTTACTTGTCATTTTTTGTTCGCAACAGAGAATTTTTAGGATTGTTAGATAGTGGAGCTCAGATTAGTGTTCTTGGAAATAATTCACATTTAGTTTTTGAAAAGTTAGGATTTTTCTTGGAAGTCTCTTCATCTTCTGCTACCACCGCAGATGGGAAACCACAGGAGGTTATCGGTACAATGCGAATACCAGTCAGATGTTTGAAAAAGACTAGATTTGTAAATTTTCTTGTCGTACCTTCTATATCAAGCAACGTTATTTTAGGCATAGACTTTTGTATCCCTTTTGGTATTTTAAAACACATTCACAAACATGTTGGCTTTGTGAATTCGGATGGAAAACCATTAGAAATATCTTCTATAACCACTATTGCGGATTTAACACCACAACAAAAGGCACGTTTAGATTCTACTATTAAATTATTTGAAGAAATTTCGTATGAAAAGGTAGGCTTAGGTAAAACTGATTTAGTTCAACATAAAATTCATACGGTTGGAGAACCTATTAAGCAGAGGTATTATCCTTTAAGCCCTGCTATGCAAAATAAATTAAATTTGGAAATTGATAAAATGTTGGCTGAAGGCATTATAGAACCATCTAAATCTCCATGGTCTAGCCCTTTAGTATTAGTAACTAAGAAAGACGGCTCGTTGAGAGTTTGTTTAGATTCACGTAAATTAAATTCTGTTACTATTAAAGATTCATATCCATTGCCCTATATTTCTAGAATATTAGTTAACCTTAGAGGAGCTCGCTTTCTTTCTTCTGTGGATCTTTCCAAGGCATTTTATCAGATTCTTTTGGAGAAATCATCGCGGGAGAAGACTGCTTTCGTTGTACCTGGGCGTGGCTTATTCCATTTCGTTCGTATGCCGTTTGGAGTTTCAAATGCCCCCGCAGAACTTCAGAGACTCTCGGATCGCTTGTTTGGGCCTGAATTTGATGATAACCTGTTCTGTTATCTTGATGATCTCGTCCTAATTAATGAAAATTATGATCAGCACATTGCTCTCTTAGAAAAAGTACATAAAAGGTTAAAAGAAGCCGGTCTAACTATAAATTTAAGTAAATCTGAGTTTTGTAAAGATAAATTAAAATATTTGGGCTACATAGTTGATAAAGATGGGCTACATACGGATCCTGTTAAATTAGAAGCCATAAGAAATTTTCCAATTCCAAAATCAGTTAAAAATGTTCGTAGTTTCGTTGGTATGTGTTCCTATTATAGACGATTTGTTCCAGATTTTAGTAATCTAATTCACCCTTTAACTAAATTAACTTCTATTAAAAAAGGTAGTAAAGTAAAATTTAATTGGACAGCGGACGCTGATATTGCATTTAAGAAATTGAAAGAAGTTATGACTTCTGCTCCAGTATTACAGTGCCCTAATTTTGAAAAGCCTTTTTCCATTCATTGTGATGCTAGTGGTGTAGGTGTTGGAAGTGTCTTAATGCAAGATGATGATGATGGACATCCACATCCCATAGCTTATTTTTCTAAATTACTTT